TACTTCTCCCACACTAGCATTACGTCTAAATCAGGTTAGGCAGAAAATATATCTCCTCATTGAGATGATCTAACCATGAATGTGCTATTAGACTAACTTTTAGGTCTTTATAAGATATCTTTCAATAATGTAAATACTTTTGTCACCATTTGTAAAAAAGAGTCTTTTAAAAACTGTATGTCCTGCTTGTTGATGGTAGTGACTCACTTTGAAGTGACAGTTTATAAAAATATTTTAATTTATCCTACTTGAGATTCATTTGACGTTTTGAATTCTAGGACTGTTAACTTTTTTTAGCTCTGTAATGTTTTCAAATATTACATCTTTTAAGTGCTGCTTGCTCCCCGCTTCTACTCTTTCATTCCAGATTTCTGGTTAGATAAGTTAGACTTATGTTTTTGCCATGCATTTTTTTGTTGTTATTTATTTGTTTCTTTACACAGATAATCCCTAGTTTCAGATGGAAGGCTGGCTTGCAGTTTTAAAATTTCAGAGGACATTTTTTCCTCCTCTCTACTTCACTGTACCTTTCTGTGAGACAGGCTTGGTTTTGGTTTACCATTATACTTGCAGATATAGGTATTTGAATCGCAGATTTCTTTTGGAAGGTGCTTGGTTAGACCACATAAATTCTCTTCATCTGAATCTCCATTTTATAAGTCCTGTATCTTGCATTAACTTCAAAAACAATTGCAGAACCAACAGATAGGGAAATGGTTACATCACTGGACTCTCATATTATCGACCACAGTTCAGGTCCTGGACCCGGCAGCTTAAAATTCAGACTGGGTGTGTATGCATATGCGCCCAAAGTCTGGAGAGGAGAATGGAGAAGGGATTGGAGGAGAAGGGGTTGCGGCAAGGCCATCCCTCCTGTGGGATAATGTCTCACTTTCTGTGTGTCTCCGATGAGCGCAAGCACCCTGTAGCTAAAATCTGCCTTTAAAAAAAAAACTCTCAGGATCCCAAATTTGACTCCTTTTGTACCTTCCATGTAAAAGCAGGTTGAGAACTTGGCTACTTCACTACATTTTAGACTTCATTTAATCTTGTCCTTGGGACTGTCCTGTAGTGCAGTGGTTAAATGCTGGGCATTGGGAGCTGCATCACTTATGCCCAACCACAGTTCACATCCTACCGCAGCAGCTTAAGAAGCACTGTGGTTGTGTGCCCAAGATCCTGATGGCATGGAGGAGTGGAGGAAGGGGATTGCAGTGTGACCACACCCCCTGGAGGGTTCGCGCGCTCTTTTTCTGGTGAACACATGTGCCCTTCAGCAATTAATTAAAGGGGGAAAAATTTGAATCTTTGCCAATTTCTATGTTTTTTTCAGCCCAAAAACTGCTTTTGAAAGGTTATTTTTAGACTCGTTCGGGGTATCTGGTTCATATTGCCATAAACAGAAGTTGACAACTTGCTTTGGTTGGGATGGAGGGAAGCAAATGTCATTTCCCAGGCAGATAGGGAGTGTTGTTTAGTACAAATGTTTTTTAGTACAAAAGATTAAAGTTTATTTGTTATAATTTCTCACTAATCAGTTACAGATACCTCTTTTCTCTTTGGAGACTGAAGAAGAATGAATGAAAATGAGGGGTGTGACTACCTCATCTAAGAAAGTCTAGATTGCCTTTTCTGCTATTTATAAGTTCACCTTCAATTTCCCCCTAGATAACTGAGGAGATGATGGATCAGGCAAATGATAAGAAAGTAGCTGCCATTGAAGCCCTAAATGATGGTGAGTAATTTTTTTTCCTCATTGCTAAATTTTTCTGGTAGTCTGAATATTTTCTTCTCTACTGCATTAACTGATAGTAGTGGGGTAGAAGAAAACCTAGTATTTATGAGTATCTTACACCGGAAAAGGTAAGAGTCCCATTGTTAGCCAGCATGTCCTCATTAATAGGCTGAAACCACTCAGTATCAGTTACCTTGCTTTGGGGCATAGACATCCTGATCTTACTCAAAATCCCTGCTTTCCAGACTGTGTCATGGTGTTTTCAAAACGGTGAAAGGCTTTCAGAAAACAAAAATAGAAGATAAAATACTTTCAGAAAGACAGTGATCCTTAATTTTTTTTTATATATTATAATAACATCCTTAACAGATGGTGTTTGTAGGTGTAATAGTCTTATTCTAATCGGTACCTGGTAGATTCTCTTCAAAAATCATGGGAGAATACTGATTGTGTTCAGTAATGTTTTATCACTTTTCAATATAATATATAAGAATAGATCATGTAAAGTTGGGTGCTGTGACTACTGACTTAACTTTTTAAAAAATAATTATTTATTTAATTCCATTTGTTATTATTGTTTTTTTAATTTGACCAGAGAGAGAAAGGGAAAGTGAGAAAACAAGCTGCCAGATCCAAGACTTGAACCATGGTCGGCCATGTGGAATCCAGCGCCCTTAACTACCATGACACCAACCGGCCTCTGCTTAACATTTAATGCTAACTTCTTAACTGTGTGATAGTGTCACAATGATGTAATTGAAAAGACATTTATATCATGCTGGTGTATGTTTAGACTTCATACATATATTTAGAAAATGATCATTTTTATTTTAGAATGAGTCCAGTATTGCTATTCCAAGTAGGTGAATATATTGATTTTTTTTTGTTTTTAGTTTTACTACAGGGTGTGTGCACTAGCCAGAGAGAGAGAGTAAAAAAGGGCCTCCCCAACCCCCAGGATAGCCACATCACAATCCCTTCTCCATTCTCGGGGTTTTGAACGTGCATACACATGTACCCACAACAGGACTTAAGCTGTGCAGATGACCCATACCAGTGACTGGCTTTACTTTTTTTTTTTTTTGTACTTCCATCACCTTAATTAAGGTCCTTATTACATGTTTATATTATTTCTATTGCAGTTGCCTTAGTATGGGGAGGGGCTTTAAAAATCATGTGAAAATAGAATTAAACTGTAAGTTTATTTTGGTCCAATACATTTTCAAATTCATATTTTTCATGAACTTTTTTGAGATCCTTTTCATAGTTTGCCTACCTGAAATATCTTTCCTTTACTGTGTTCCTACATCATTCTTACTTAGAACTTTTTTTTTTAATTGAGAGATTGATTTTTGTTATAAGGTACGTACGCTTGCCCGAGAGAAAGTGAGAAATCATCCCCCTGGAGGATGACCACACTGCTGTCCTTTCTCCATTCTCCTCTTGAGATTTCGTGCACACAGCCCAATGTGAGTTTCAAGCCCCCAGGTCTGGGACTTAAACCGCGGTTGGCCACATCAGAGTCTAGCGACATAACCATTACACCATCTGTTAGTCCCTGTTCTTACTGTCTTTTAATTTGACCAGAGAGAGAAAGGGAAAGCAAGAAAGGAAGCTACCAGCTCTGGGACTCAAATCATGGTCAGCCATTTGGGAGTCTAGCACCTTAACCACCGTGCCACCTGTTGACCCTTGTGACATTTTTCTTCTTTTTAAAAATAATTATTTTATTTACGTTTCTTTTAATGTGACTAGAGAGGGATAGAGTGAAAGAGAGAGGCAGAGAGAGAGAGAAAGCAAAGTGACAAAGCAAGTCACCAGGTCCAGGACTCAAACCACGGTCAGCGATGTGGGAGTCCAGTGCCCTTAACCACTACACCACCTGCCAGCCCTGCCCTGTGATACTTATTTTTCAATCTTGTATTTATTTTTGGTACTCCAAGAATTAGACTTTGTGTAAAGCTGTTCTAATTCTGTGATGTTTTTGTTGAATGACTTAAGGGACTTAAAGGTTTAACTATGAGAATGGGATACAATAAGTGAAAAATAAATAAATGTAGGTAGTAGCCTTTTTTTTTTTTTTTTTTTTAAAGAATTTTCTTAAAATTTAATTTTTTTTATTTTAATTTGACCAGAGAGGGACAGAGTAGAGCGAGGTTAGTGAAAAAAAGCAAGTTACCACTCGAACTGTGGTCAGCCATGTGGGAGTCCAGTTCCCTTAACCACCACGCCACTTGTTGGCCCCACATAGGCTGTAGTCTATTAAAGATTCTGGTTTTGTTGAATTTTGGTACCTCTAAGAAGTCAAAGAGTAAACTATTGTGGATTTTGTCTTTTAAAAATGGCGCTGTGGGGAGACCAGCAAGTAGCCTGGTGGTTAAGGTACTAGACACTCCCACATGGTCGATGAGGGTTCAAATTTCAGACCTAGTAGCTTGCTTTCTCACTTTCCCTCAGTGTCTCTCTCTCTCTCTGTATCTCTCTTGTCTAAAATAAATCAATGAATAAATAGAATTAAATAATTCTTTAAAAGCACTGTGAAGTTAGGTATCCTGTGTGTGCTGTTTATTTTTTAAGTTTTATTCTTTTAGTGGATGAAAAAAAAATACAATTGGTTTATTTTGTACTTTAAAATGATTTTATTTTAGGGGAACCAGCAAAAAAAATTACTATTTTAAAATAGGGAATATCGGGGAATGTGGCGTGGTGGTTAAGGCACTGGACACTCCCACATGACTGACTACTGTTCAAGTCCCAGACCTGGTGGATTGCTTTCTCTCTCCCCCTCACCCCCTGCCATGTGTCTTTCTGGTCAAATTAAAAAATAAAATAAATATATGAAATTAAATAAAAATAACTCTTTTAAAAAATTGATTTTACTTTTTTTCACCCCCAAGGCTTTTTGCCTTAGACTGTGCATACTCACTGGAGAGGGTCAGACAGAGAGAGAGAAAGTGAGAAGTAATTCCCCAGGTCAGGTGGCCACATGTAATCCTTCCTCCTCCATTATCCTCTCAGGATTTCAGGCATGCACACACATGCACCTGGCATGATTTTCAAATTGTTGGGTCCAGGACTCGAACTGTGGTCAGTCATGTGGTCGTACAACACCTACCAAGCCATGTGTTGGTGCCAACTTTAATCTCGAGTTAATTGCCAGAGGACATGCATGTTTGAAAAAGACAGCATTCCCTGAATGGGGCATGGCCACACCTCAATCCTCTTTTCGTCGTTTCTGTGTCAGGATTCTATGCACACAAGCACATGCATCTAGCATGTTGCTCAAGTTGCTGGGGCCAGAAATCAAAACATTGTTAACCATGTGGAATCCAGCACCTGCTTAAATAGCTGTGCTATGGGGGCTTGCCCTCTTTTTTTAATTAAGTATTTAGTAGCATTCTCATGCTGCTGTGGTGTTTTGTTGTTGAACAGAAACTAGAACCCACATGGTGACCATGGTTCGATTCTCTGGCTCAGTCAGTCTGAAACACTCTAAGCACGCTTGCCAGATCTGACGCACTGGAGAAAGGGAGTGCAGCATGATAAGGCACTGTGGGGCTCTTCTCTCATTCCCACTCTCTACCCCATATTCAGATACATTCTCTATCATTAATCCATACAAAAACAAAAATTCAGTCCCAGCCACTGTATAAGCCTGCTGCTTGGCAGACTGCGGTCACATCAGAGTTCCAGTTCACACTGTAAAGCCAGAAAAGGGAACTACATGGGAACCTGAGGCAAGAAGAACTGCAACTTAGACATTGTCTAAAACCAGTAGCACCACACACACAAAATCACTAAGTGATCAGTGGAGTTGATGTAACCCCTTCCCTGTGAACTCGGGGGGGGGGGTGTCTTTAAAAGCTTCATGGAAAATGCATATTGTGAAAAAAACTATATGAATCTCAATAGTTTTGCACAAAAAGTCATGCTTTTTAAATTTTTTAAACTTGACTTTATTTACTTATTTTTTTAATTTGACCAGGGGGGACAGAGCGAAAGAGGGAAGGGGAAAGTGAAAAAGCAAGACAACAGATCGGGGACTGAGACCATGGTCAGCCGTATAGGAGTTTAGCACCTTTAAGAACCAGGCCACTTGCCAGCCCCCCAAAATAAACTCATGCTTTGGTTCCATCTTTTCCTGTACTTTTTGAAATCATCTTGTATAATTGTAATAAATGTTTGCTTTCAGGAGGTAGTTTTGTATGTAATGTAGACAGTAGTCTTTTTCCATAATACTGGACTAAAAGTAGAAATGACTGGAGGGGCTGGCGAGTGGGGTGGTGGTGAAGGCACTGGACTCCCCATGACCGACCGTGTTTGAGTCCCAGACCTAGTGGCTTGCTTTCTCAATTTCCCCCCCTCTTTGTCTCTCTGGTCAAATTAAAATATAATAATAAATAAAATTAAATAAATAATTCCTTAAAAGGAACTATTTGAATACAAAACAAAAGCTTTTTATTAATGTTTTTATCATCTTTTCTTTTTTTTTTTTTTATTTTCTTTTGAGAGGTTTTGGCTATAAGGTACGTGTTCTCGCCAGAGAGACAAAAAGCGAGAAATCGGCCCCCCAGGGGGGATAGCTACACCACAATCTCTTCTCCATTCTTCTCTTGGGATCTTAGGCATGCATGACATGTGCCCTGTGTGAGATTAAGCCATCAGGTCCAAGGCTCGAACCGTGGTCAACTACATGGGAGTCCAGCGAGATAGCCATTTCACCAACTACTGGTCCCAGTGTTTTTATCTTCTAAATCCTTCTCAGTAATTCTTGTCTTACTTTAGGTGAACTACAGAAAGCCATTGACTTGTTTACAGAGGCCATCAAGCTGAACCCACGCTTGGCTATTTTATATGCCAAGAGAGCCAGGTGAGAAGTCAACAGCAAAGCCTCTGCTAGTGAATTGTTTCTGCTCATTCATTTAAATTAAATTCCTACTGTACTAATCTCAAAGGTTTCATTTTTAATGAATACTTTTTAATATCATATGTATTTTTTAGTGTCTTCGTCAAATTACAGAAGCCAAATGCTGCCATTCGAGACTGTAACAGAGCCATTGAAATAAATCCTGATTCAGCTCAACCTTACAAGTGGCGAGGAAAAGCTCACAGGTAAATAGAATTTAATTATTTTCAGAACTTTTTAAATTTAAATATGTTTCAATATGCTTTTTTTTTTTTTTTTAAACTGGCTTAAGTACTTAATTCCAAAGATAGTATGTGCTGTATATGACAAATTGAGAGAATATAGTAAGGAAAAAAATAAGAAAAATACTTTTAACTCCTTTCATTTAGAAAACCACTGGTGGGTTTGTTGTTGTTGTTGTTGTTTTGTAGTTTTAAAAAAATGACTTTTTGTTATAGGGCATATGTGCTAACCAGAGGGGGTGGATGGGCAGGCGTAATGAGAACACAAGCTACAAGGTCCGGGATTCGAACCGTGTTCAGCCATGTGAGAGTCTAGCACTTTAACCACCATGCCACTTGATGACCTCCAGAAAACCATTGTTAACAGTTTTTGTTTTTGTTTTTATTCACAGATGTAAGATCGGGGTTTTTTTTCTCAAAATTAATTCTAAGAAAAAAGAATGCTGCCTTTATGTCAGCATCTTGACAGATTTTCTGCTATTTTTATACTTTTATTTGCTGATTTAGCATTTTACAACCAGTATATCATCAAAGAATGAAGGACGATGTTGAATGCTAGGCCACCTAAAAAGTCAAAGGGAGAAAATGGTGAACTCAATCCAGCTTAGTTACCATTCCCAGTAGCAAACTTTAGTTAGTTATAGGTTTTTGTCATAGGACGTATGCCCCTGTTGGAGAGAGACAGAGAAGGAAAAGTGAGAAAGACTCCCTTCCAGGAGAATGGCCATGCCATAATCCCTTCTACTCCATTGTCCTCCTGGGATCTTGAGCATACATGCATATGTGCCTAGCATGATTTTCAAGCCTCTGGATGCGGGACTTGATCCACATTTTATCTCTTCCATGAGAAAGAAAGGGAGGGAGGGGAGGTGGGGAAGACACTCACAAACTGGTCTTCACACCATGATCCATTCCCAGCCTCAGATAGCTAGGACTGTGGGTATGCATGTGCTCCTTGTGTATAAGGTGACCCCGAGACCGAAACCCAGGACCTTCTCGTGTCACCTTAGCATCACAGTGTTGCTTACCACTGCAGCTGAGCAAAAGTGTTTTTTTAATTATTATTTAATTTTAATTTTATTTCTTACTAATTTTTAAATTTGTTGTAGAGCATGTGCACTCACCAGATCTAACAGAGAGAGAAATGCAATCGGCCATGTGGGAGTACAACACCTTAACCACCATGCCACCTGCTGGCCCTGCTAAGCAAAAGTTTTATTGTTACACAGCTAAATATTTGTGTCTCAAGAATGGAATGTCTATTGATACTTTCATTTTACCATGGATTGTAACGTATGCTATATAGGACTGGCCGGTGGTGTGGTGGTGAAGGTACTAGACTCCCATATAGCTGATCACAGTTCGAGGGCCAGACCTGGCAGCCTGCTTTCTCATATACTCACTCTCTGGTCAAATCAAAGAATAATAATAATACAATAAAATAAATCTTTAAAAGAAAGAAAGAAAAGGGTGCTACATTTTAAGTATGTATGGAAATGAAGATGAATATGCTGAGGATCGCCATAGTAGGAGATTCAAATTCTATTATTCTCTGAAGGTACATGTCAAAGATAAAGGTAAAAAGTTGAAATATGATTTACTACATGTAGGTATAAGAAAAGCTTAGGCATTGCCAGGAATGTTTTTGAAGTCTTAAATCAGCATCTTTTTCCCTTTTGTTACAAGATGACAGGGTCTTAATTTTTACTTTGTTTATCTCAGTCTTAGGGTAAGTCATTTCACCAAGAAACCGTAATATATTTTAGTGGGAAGTAAGATTGGGCACTAGGTGTTTTCAAGTAAAATTTAACATTAAATGTTTTCCTATACTGTTTGTTTTGTTTTTGTCTTTGATTTTTTGTTTTTCTTGAGAGAAAGATTTATTTTTGACAAGGTCTTGCCATGCTATGATCCTCCTGTGCAACTTTTGAATTTATCTAGGATGACAGGTGTTCACTAGGTAACAGTGAAAAAATACAATAAAAAGGTACTTGAAAGGTCATACATACAGTGGTACTGAGTAAAGTAACTAGACCCAGATGGGAAGGGTTCTGGACTCACAGCCTGAGACCTCCCTGAGTTCACTGTGAGTGTGTACATGCCCGTGATTGACACTGGGGTGGAACATCACTTAAAGACTCTTCTGGGGGGGGTCTCTGTCTCACTCTTTCTCTTTAATTTGCTAGAGGATGTGCGTACTCACTGGAGAGGAGGGATGAAAAAGCCTGGGAAACTGTCACGACGCAGTACATCTGGCACCTCTCCTTTAGTGGTGTCGGGCACACACCTGCTTCACTTTTTCTTTTTTCTTTTTTTTATAAAGAGGTTTTTGCTATAGGTCGCGTGCGCTCGCCAGACAGAGACAGATAGACAGAAAGTGAGAAATCACCTCCCAGGGGTGATGGCTGTGCCACAATTCCTTCTCCTCCATTCTCCTCTCGGGATCTTGGGCACACATGCACATGCACCCAGTGTAAGTTTAAGCCACCGGATCCAGGACCCGGACCACGATCAACTACATGGGAGTTCAGCAACATAGTCATTATGCTTACTGCTGGTCCTGCTCACTTCTTTTTCTAGCCACCAAGCCCAGTACTCAAAATACAAAGCCAACTGTGTAGGATACAGTCGTCTTAACTATCACACCACTGGATGGCCCTATGTCTCTCTTTCTGTCTCTGTCCATTTCTCTCACAGAAGAAATAAATGAATAAACTTGTTTTTTAAAGGGGTTTTTGCTGTAGGGTTCATATGTTTGTCCGAAAGACACAGACAGAAAGCAAGAAATCACCCCTGGGGGAATGGCCACACCTCAATCTCTTCTCCTCTAGTCTCTTAGGATTTTGGGCACACACACACACCATCCGGAATGAGTTTTAAATTGATGGGTCTGGGACTCAAACTGTGGTCTACTACTTGTGAGTTCAGTAACACAACCATTACATCATCTGCTGGTCCCTGAATAAACTCTTAAAAAAGTTACTTGAAGCTGAGTGCTGGCAGACGGCATGGTGGTTAAGGGTGCTGAACTCTCACATGGCCAATTGTGGTTCAATTCCTGGACCTGGCAGCTTGCTTTCTCTCTTTTTCTCTCTCTCCCTTCCTCTGTTTTCCTCTCTCTACCTCTGTCCCTCTCTGGTCAAATCAAACTAAGTAAATAAAATTCTTTAAAAAAAAAAAAAAAAGTTACTTGAAGGGGACCAGCAGGTGGTGTGGTGGTTAACGTGTTGGACACTCCCACATGACCAACCACAGTTTGAGTCCTGAACCTGGAGTTCTCTCTCTCTCTCTCTCTCCCTCTGTGCCTCTATGGTCAAATTTACAGTTAAAATGAATGATTGAATAGAAAATTCTTTTTTTTTTTTTTTTGCTATAGGGCACATGCACTTACCAGACAGAGAGAGACAGAGAGACAGAAAGTATGAAATCACCCCCCCAGGAAGGATGGCCATGCCGCAGTCCCTTCTCTGATCTCCTCTCAGGATCTTGGGCACATGCGCACACCCGCCCGGTGTGAGTTTTAAGCCACCAGGTCCGGTACGTGAACTGTGGTCAACTACATGGAAGTCCAATGACATAGCCATTATACTAACTGCTGGTCCTGAAAATTCTTCTTTAAAAAAGTTACTTGAATGGATTTTTTTTAAATAATTATTTTTTAGTTAAATTTATTTTTAATTTGATCAGAGAGGGACAGAGTGTGAGAGAGAGAGAAAGTGAGAAAGCAAGCTGCCAGGTCCAGGATTCGAACTGTGGTCAGCCACATGGGAGTTCGGCACCGTTAACTACCATGCCACTTGCCGGCTCATTTTATTCTGTGTAGTTATGTTATCGTGTGATACATACTGGTACCTCATTTCTATTGTATTTACATTCACATTTAGAGTTTACTTTATTTCCATCTATTCTTAATTTTATTTATCGAGTATGTAAGTAATGTATATGTTTGGGACTAGCCCCACAATGTAGTGCAGTGGCTGTGTAATGTTCATTGGGAGCCAGATTCTCCCCAGCCAGTTATGATTCAAATCCCAGCCCAAGTGGCTTGATAAACACCCTGGGCACATGTATATGCATGAACCAAATTCCAACAGGATGAAGAAATGGAAGGACAGTGGATTGTGGCATGACCGTGTCTCCTTGGGATGCTATCTCCTCCCCTCCACCCACTCTGATGAATCTTCCTATACTTTGGCATTTAAAAAAAGAAAGGCGTTTCCATAGAGAAAAAAAATTTTTTTAAGTATTTATTTATTCATTCATTCGTTTTAATTTGACCAGAGAGAGAAAGAATGGGAAAAGCGAGAAAGCAAGCCACCAGGTCTCAGATTTGAACCGTAGTCAGCCATCTGGGAGTCTAGTGCCTTACCCGCCATACCAACTCCACCATAGAGGAAATTTAAACTACTTGAGGTTTGCATAGATTTAACCAACAGTAGAACATTGTAGCTATATCAGTGGAAATTTATAGTTAATACCTAACTTAAACGTCATCTATAGCAACTCTTTTTTTTTTTTTTTTTTGCCATAAGAAAGAGCCCAAGGCACATAGGTGAAAAAAACATATATACATAGTTCTTAAAAGAGTTTAAATTTATTTCAGACTTCTGGGCCATTGGGAAGAAGCAGCACATGATCTTGCCCTTGCTTGTAAACTGGATTATGATGAAGATGCTAGTGCCATGTTGAAAGAAGTTCAACCAAGGGTATGTTAAAGTAGAGGTCTGAGTGAAAGTCTTTACTGTCATATTCCATGACTGAAGCACTTAGCCCCAGAAAAGGATGAAAACCACTCGAAGTTATAGTAATCACTGAATTTGTGCTTAGCTCTGGAAATCTCACAAGGTTTTATACTTGGACTTTCTCCTACTTCCACCAAGGGGGAGAGGGTCTTAAAATTCATGAAAAGTGGGTATTACGAAAGCAGAATGCATAGGTTTCAGATTTTGTTTGCGCCAAAGTAACCTATTTAATTTTACTGTTCTATGAACTTATCTACTGCCAAAGACTGACTTGATACTTTTTTCTTCATCTAATTGGGATAACTCAGAAAAGTTGTATAAGATATTCTTGAAAATAAGCTTCTTAATAATTGTAAATAAGCTAAAGTAACAGTTGAATATGAATTTCCTACATTTATTTTATTCTTTAAGTAGATTGCAGACATTTGGTACAGACAATATGCTAGTACCTGACACATTTATGTATATTTTCTCTTTTAATTACTGTAACAGTCCAATAAGACTAAGTATTTCTTTTCCCCCATTTTATATATGAAGAAACTTAAAAATAGTTGAAACTGTGCGAGTGTTCCCAGGCTCTGCCGTCCCATGGCAGACACTATGACTGATAAACTCCCATCTGAACTCAGCTGTCACTACTAAAGCCATAACACCATCAAGTTAGACGTGTCTATTTGTCATCTTCGAGCTCGGTTCATTGAGATTTTGTTATTTCTCCGCAACTTTAAACCCCAGATCCTTTCCTCTATTTCACCCAGTCTCAGGCAGTTGAGATTGATGAGATTGGTCTCATTAAAGCCTGAGCGTTTGGGGTCAAGCCTTTTTCTATACAGTAAATATATATATATAAACTGTCCCTTTTTTTCAGACTCAGCTTTTGGAGCAGACTGACTTTTCTGTGGCCTTTTTCCTTATAGGCCCAGAAAATTGCAGAGCATCGGAGAAAGTATGAGCGAAAACGTGAAGAGCGAGAGATCAAAGAAAGAATAGAAAGAGTTAAGAAGGCTCGAGAAGAGCATGAGAGAGCCCAGAGGGTAAAGTTTCTAGAAGGATTCTTGTTTTCCTTTCTTTAATCTAGTTTGTGGGAATATTTTTAGTCTTTAAATTCTTAAGTGAGCTTTTGTTTCACCAGTTTACATTCTTGTGTTCTTTTGAAAAATCAGGTGGTTTTTTTTTTTTTCTTTTCTTTTCTTGGTCAAGTAATTAAGAGATAGCAGAACCTTGCCCTGATTCCAGCAGTGAATTCAAAACTTCAAGGTGAATCTAGTTATTTTTATTTTTAGTAGTAAATACAGAAAACTTCAGAAAAAAATTTTGTTAATTCCTCCATAATATTGCTGCTGCCATTTTTAAGATTTTTTTATTTTCCTGTGTTAGCTTTCTGTGTTGGTTCTATCGATATTCATCTCAATTCCAACAATATTGAAAGAAGGGACATAAACTTATATTGTAGGGGCCAGCAAGTAGCATGGTGTTTAAAGGCGCTGGATCCCACATGGCCGACCATGGTTCAAGTCTCGGACCTGGTGACTTGCTTTCTCACTTCCTCTCTCTCTCTCTCATCAAACTGGAAAATAATAATAATAAATAAAGTTCAATAAAATAATTCTTTTTAAAAACCCTTATAACTGTATAGCATTAATCTTAATTTCTTATGTCATTTAAGTCAAACTTCAGAGATCAGCAGATGGCTTAATGGTTAGGTCGCCGGACTCCCATGTAGTTGACCGAGGTTTGAGTCCTGGACCAGGCAGCTTAAAACTCATGCTGGACGTATGTGCGCGTATGCCCAAAATCCCAGGAGGAGAGGGGGTTGTGGTGTAGCTATACCTCTGGGGGTGATTTCTTGCTTTCTGTCTCTCTAACAGCCACACCCATCCTATAGCCAAAATCTCTATTAAAAAAAAAAAAAGCGGGAACCAGCAGTTAGGGTAATGGCTATGTCGCTGAACTCCCACGTAGTCGCCCGTGGTGCGCATCCTGGACCCAGTGGCTTAAAACTCACGCCGGGCGCGTGTGTGTGCGTGCCCAAAATCCCGAGAGGAGAATGGAGGAGAAGGGATTGCAGTGTGACCATCCCCCCTGGGGGGTGATTTCTTGCTTTCTGTCTCTCTCTGTCTGTCTGGCGAGCACACACACCCTATAGCAAAAACCTCTCCAAAAAAAAAGATTTATGCTTATAACTTATATGGGGGCCAGCAGGTGGTGTGATATTTAAGGTGCTGGACTCCCACGCGGCCAACCACTGTCTGAGTCCCAGACCTGGCAGCTTGAAAATTATCCATGTATGCCTAACATTTCAGGAGAAGAATGGAGGAGATAGGATTGCAGCAGGGCTGTGCCCCAGGGGGGAGTAATTTCTCACTTCCTGTCCCTCTTTCTGGCAAGTACAGGTACCCTTTACAAAAATCTTTAAAAAAAAAAAAAAAGTGTAACTTTTATGCATCTCTTCAATTATTTTATAAGTGGGCATGAAAGAAATGTGTCTTTCATTTTTTGTTTAAAAAAAAAAAAAGTAGAGGGGCTGGCAGGTGGTAAGGGCGTTAGACTCACACATGGCCAACTGTGGTTTAAGTCCCAGACCTGGCAGCTTGCTTTCTCACTCCCTCCTCCCTCTATTCTTCTCTGGTCAAACTTAAATAAATACATACATAATAAATAAAATAATTCTTTAAAAACAAACCAAAAAAAAAAATAGTAGAGGAGCCTGCAAATTGCATGGTGGTTAAGGGCACTGGACTTTCTTGTGACTGACCATGGTTCACGTCCTGGGCCTGACAGCTTACTTTCTTGCTTTCCCTCTCCCTTGCTCGTTCTTGGCTCTGCCCCTCTCTGGTCAAATTAAAAAATAAACAAACTTAAAATAATTATTAAAAAAAAGAAATAGCATTTGTACTGTTACTTAAAGGAGAACATAGAAATGATGAACCTGGAAAACAAGTCATGGCAGCCTTAGTAATTAATCTAGCTATGTTCATTCTTTTTGGAGGTTTTTTTTTTTTTGGAGAGGTTTTCGCTATAGGGCGCGTGTGCTCGCCAGCCAGCCAGACAGAGACATAGAGACAGAAAGCGAGAAGTCACCCCCCGGGGGGGATGGTCACGCAGGAATCCCTTCTCCTCTCGGGATCTTGGGCACGCACGCACACGTGCCCGATGTGAGTTTTTTTTGTTTTGTTTTGTTTTTGTTTTTGTTTTGGAGAGGTTTTTTGCTATAAGGGCGCGTGTGCTCGCCAGACAGACAGAGAGAGACATAGAGACAGAAAGCGAGATATCACCCCCCAGGGGGGATGGTCACGCTGCAATCCCTTCTCCATTCTCCTCTGGGGACCTTGGACACGCACACACTCACCTGGCGTGAGTTTTAAGCCACTGGGTCCAGGATGCGAACCACGATTGACTACGTGGGAGTCCAGTGACATAGCCATTATGCTAACTGCTGGTTCCCACTTTTTGGAGTTTTTGAAATAATAAAATTTTACTATTTTCACAGTTATGGGCATATCAGTTCTTTAAATTAATTTTCCAGCTTTGTTTTATCCACAGTAGTCATAAAACACTGTACTTGAAATCACATTACCAAGAGTAGTGTTTGTTGAGAGTACAGTTGAAAAATTGGGTGTTGGAGGAGTCCTAAGGTACATCCTTAGTCTGCTATTGATTGTATTTGAAACTTGTTAAACTTGTGTTTTCTCTACTAGCTTACTTTACTATTTTTTCATGGTTTTGCATGGATAGGTTAGGGATAGCACTTTTTTTTTTTTTCCCTGTTACATAATTTTTTGTTTTTTTGTTTTAAAGGAGGAAGAAGCCAGACGACAATCAGGAGCTCAGTATGGCTCTTTTCCAGGTATGCTTTTTTTAAAAATTATAAAACTGTGAGTATTGTAGATAATTATAATCTGATTGGGGGTTCAGACATACACAGTCACATGTTGCTTAACAACGTGACTGCATTCTGGTAAATATCATTACACAGTGTTGTTCCCTGAACATCATAGTGTGTGCTTACACAAACCTGTGTGGTACACACCTAAGTTAAATGGTATAGCCTGTTGTAATCTCATGAGAGCGCTGTCGCATATGTCGCCCATTGTTGACCAAAATACTATTGTACGGCACATAACAGTATAAGTATACATATGTATTGAGAGCTTCATTTATATACAGGTTGAATATCTCTTAGCTGAAATACTCGAGACCAGAAGTGTTTGGATTTTTTTTTTCTTTTGTATTTTGAAATATTTAGGGCTAGCAGGTGGCATGGTGATTAAGGCACTGGAGTCCCACATGGTCGACCATGGCAGTAGTCATAAAACACTGTACTTGAAATCACATTACCAAGAGTAGTGTTTGTTGAGAGTACAGTTGAAAAATTGGGTGTTGGAGGAGTCCTAAGGTACATCCTTAGTCTGCTATTGATTGTATTTGAAACTTGTTAAACTTGTGTTTTCTCTACTAGCTTACTTTACTATTTTTTCATGGTTTTGCATGGATAGGTTAGGGATAGCACTTTTTTTTTTTTTCCCTGTTACATAATTTTTTGTTTTTTTGTTTTAAAGGAGGAAGAAGCCAGACGACAATCAGGAGCTCAGTATGGCTCTTTTCCAGGTATGCTTTTTTTAAAAATTATAAAACTGTGAGTATTGTAGATAATTATAATCTGATTGGGGGTTCAGACATACACAGTCACATGTTGCTTAACAACGTGACTGCATTCTGGTAAATATCATTACACAGTGTTGTTCCCTGAACATCATAGTGTGTGCTTACACAAACCTGTGTGGTACACACCTAAGTTAAATGGTATAGCCTGTTGTAATCTCATGAGAGCGCTGTCGCATATGTCGCCCATTGTTGACCAAAATACTATTGTACGGCACATAACAGTATAAGTATACATATGTATTGAGAGCTTCATTTATATACAGGTTGAATATCTCTTAGCTGAAATACTCGAGACCAGAAGTGTTTGGATTTTTTTTTTCTTTTGTATTTTGAAATATTTAGGGCTAGCAGGTGGCATGGTGATTAAGGCACTGGAGTCCCACATGGTCGACCATGGTTCAAGTCCAGGACCTGGGAGCTTGCTTTCTTGCGTGCACACGCACTCACTCTCTTTCTCTCTCTCTTGTGAGCCCACCCTAGAGCAAGTTAAGAAATAATGACAATAAAATTAAACAATCCTTTGAAAATAATAAAGATAGATGAACGTATGAATTATGAGATACCTTGGGGATGGGATGTAAATCTAAACCAATTCATTAATGTTTCACATGTACCTTATAAACACAGTTCCTGAAGGTAATGTTACATAATATTTTTATAGTGCAGCAGGGTTTTTTTTGTTTTTGTTTTTGGTTTTTTTTGGATTTTTTTTGAGAGGTTTTTGCTATAGGGCATGTGCGCTCACCAGAGAGACAGAAAGTGAGAAATTCCCCCCGCCCCCCGTCCCCCAGGGAGGATGGCCACACCCCAATCCCTTCTCCTCCTTTCTTCTCTCAGGATCTTGGGCAAGCATGCACACGCGCCTAACGTGAGTTTAAGCCACCAGGTCCGGGACTTGAACCACGGTCAATTACATGGGAGTCCAGCGACATAGCCATTACGCTAATTGCTGGTCCCTAGTTCAGTTTTGACTGAACCATCACATAAGGTCCATGTGTGGAATTTTCCACTTGTATTATCATGTGAGTACTCAAAGTTTTAAAGCATTTTGCATTGAAGATTTATACAATGAAGTTTTTGTGTGTGGTTTTTTTTTTGTGTTTTTTTTTTGGCTTCTAGATATTAGTTTTAATTACTCTGAAATGACATAATTTAATACCAGATGTTTAACAAGCACCCATTATAACTGCTAACTGTGAAATCAGCATTATTTGTAGCTTATTGGTTATTAAAACTTAATCATTTTTTTCTTTTGACAAAAGAGTAGAAATCTCAGAGAAAAAGGGAGAGTTTACAAATTAAAAGTCTTATTTACTCATCTAGCACCATAATTCCAGTCTCAGAACCTCCCAAGCACCTGGAAAGCGAATGTAGAAAGAGGTAAAGATGTTGGAACTATAAAGATAGTTCTTAACTATGGCCCCATTTTTACTTTGAGGCAATATAGATAGGGTCTAGCAAAGAAGGAAATCATTTAGACTCGTGGTGAAAATGAAAGCTTTTGATTTGAACAGTAAAGAAGGCCCTCAAGAGCAGTACATTCGGTGTATCCAGAAGGCGGTTCTGGAGTCAGCCTCTTGAACTAGGGGGTTTCTTCTTGGCATCCAAATCCTCCTCAGTTTCTTCAAGCTTTTTAGCCAGGTTTGGTGTGTCATAGTTCTGAGCCACATACATTCCTACCACATTGCCCAAAGTAAATCCAAGCAGGAACTGGAGCATGATGTCAGTGAGGAGGGTGCCAAGAGCTGGGATGGAGATTTTCAACCTATATAAAGTATATTTAATACCATTGGTCTCTGGAATACTGAGAAGTCTAGAATGTTAACCTCTAAAAGTTTTATTCTCATTAAAATTTTATGTTAGTAAAAATACAGTATATTTTTTCTCACAATTTGAGTAATTTATTTTTCAAGTCTTTTTTTTTTCCCCCTTTTTTTAAGTTTTTCCTATAGGGTACATGTACTTACCAGAAAGAGAGAGAGATAGAGATTTAGAAAGCAAGAAATCACCCACCACCACCACCACCCCCGGGGGGATGGCCGTGCCGCAATCCCTTCTCCTCCATTCTCGTCTCTGCATCTTTGGCATGCATGCACACGAACCCAGAGTGAGTTAAACCACCAGGTCCGGGACTCGAACCGCAGTCGACTACATGAGAGTCCAACGACATAGCCATTAATGCCAACTGCTGGTCCCTGTAATGGTGTTTTTGTTTTTTTTTTTAATGTTTTTAAAGAATTATTTACCTTTATTTGTTTGTTTTAATTTGAACAGGGAGGGAAGAGAGAGAGAAAGTGAGAACCACCAGGTCTGGGATTAGAACTGTGGTCAGCCATGTGGGAGTTCAGCATCCTTAGCTACCACCCCACCTGCCAGCCCCTGGAATTTTAATATACAGTGATGTTTGTGAAGATAGTAAATGAGACATTGTATGGAATTATTACGTATTTTAAAAGATGCAGTTTAAAATTAACATACATTCTTTGTTGTAAAAGTTAAGTGATCTGAGGTTCCCTTCTCCATCATTTTGGAAATTTGAGGCACTCATGCACACATACCTAGTGTGTTTTTCAAGCCAGTGGATTCAGGAACTCAGCACTGTGAGATCTAGATGTCTTCATCACTATGCCACCATCTGTCTCGGTCCTTGGATTTTTTTTTTTTTTAATAATTATTAATTTTATTTTTTATTATTAATTTGACCAGAGAGAAGGAAAGTGAGAAAGCAGGCCATCAGGGCCAGGAACAGTCATGTGTGAATCCGATGCCTTAACCACTACGCCATGTGCTGGCTCTAATTATTATTATTACTATTTTTCATTTGCTGTGGGGCACTTGAGCTCATCAGATAGAGTCAGAGACAGACAGAAAAGGGGGAGAGTGAGAAAGCAAGCTTCCAGATCCGAAACTTGCAGTCAGCCATGTGTGAGTCCAGTGCCTAACCACCATTCCACCTGCTGACTCCAACCCACAGATATTAAACTTTTTTATAGAGTTATTTTACTTAACTTTATATATTATTATTTAATCTGACTAGAGAGAGATGTGGGGGCAGCAGAAGTGAGAAAGCAAGCTACCAGGTCTGAGACTTTGAACCATTGTTGCCCAAGTGGGAGTCCAACGCTTTTAGCCATCATGCCACCTGCTGGACCCAATCCGTAGATTTTTGTAACAGACATTTTAGGTAGTTTTGGAAGGAACACAGTTTAGATGAATGTAGTAAAAAAAAATAACCCCTTAACTCAGGAATTAATTTGACATTGAAATAGACAAATGATATTCAGAAATGGGGAGTTGAGATAAAGGACGATCAAGAAGACTAATTAGTTTTATAATTATGAGGAACTGTTAGTTGACTCCTTTTTGCTGCCTTCTTCCCATTCCCCATATAGTGGTCTGAATTGTTTGCCCTACAGAGTACTCAGATTAATTTTTATTATGGGAAAAAGAAAACACTTCTACATTACTTGGATTTCTTTGTAGAAGGAGTAAGCCAAGTGTGAATAAAGATTTTGCCAAACTGGGTTTGGGAACACAAGATGACACTTTGAGGTATTTTTGTTTATTTTTTCCATGAGAGAGAGAGAGACAGGAACCCCCAAGAGGGTCTTCATGCCACAGGCCACTCCCAGCCTCAGCCAGCGTGGACCTCAGGCATGTATGGCAGTGCTCTCAGCGCACACAGGGAGGCTGTATAAGTACACCCAGGACCTTCCCAGTTGTGTTACACGGAACCACCTTGTGTTCCTATTCCCTGCTCTTTCTATTTAGGTTAGATTAGCATTGGCCGTTTTAATACTAGGAAAAGTAAATCCAGAAGGAAAGAATATCTGATTTAGTCTTTCTGTTTTGTTTCTGTCAGAGGGTTTGTGCAGTTACAGAGAGACACAGAAAGGGAGAAAGCACCTCCCCTTGGAGCATGGTCACACTGCAAATTTTTCTCCTCTATTTCTCCATTTCACTAGGATTTGGGGCATATAAGCACACACAACCTGTTTTTGGTGTTTTTCAAGCTACCCAGGCCAGAATTCAAACACAGTTGGCCATAAGGGGTCTGGCTCCTCACACACAGCACTCAACTACCTTACTGAAGACCAGCCCTACGGCCTTATTTTTAAAGAGAAATACAGAGGCGATAGTTTGTGTCTTACTACATCCAGGTTAGAATGTTGGGGCTATTTTGTGCTTAGTGGCACCCTGTACCAGATGTAAGTGTGTTTTTTCATTGGAAGGAGATAGTATTTTCAGACCACCTTTGAGTATGGTTGGTGCCTACCCAACTCTTTCATTTATTTTTGCAGGTGGCTTTCCTGGGGGAATGCCTGGTAATTTTCCTGGAGGAATGCCTGGAATGGGAGGGGGTATGCCTGGAATGGCAGGAAAGCCCCAATGAAATTCTTAGTGATCCAGAGGTTCTTGCAGCCATGCAGGTAAGACTCTAGAAAACAGAGTTGGACTTTATATCATTAAGCCATTTCTTTCATAATTCTTTATGGAGAGAGAAGTTACTTGGTTAGCTATTATTTTTTTTAATCATCTCAGTTACAAATAGCTATTTATGCAGGCATCATATTTACCTTCTTATGAGTAGCTTAAGTTTTAAATTTTGGTTTGTAGAAAATGGTAGTAGTTGTCATTTTTATCCAGTTGTCTTTTTGTTTGTATCAGAATTATATGTGCTTTTTTTTTTTTTTTCATTTATTTTAAGTAACATAATTTGAGTATAACTTTGTGATTGTAAATTAGTAAATAATACTTCAAGGATATTTCTAAACCCCTGTTAACCTGGCCATGACAAAAATATGTCTAAATAAAGGCAGAATTTAGGATAATAAACTTGCTGACCCAGTAAGATGCTTTTTAAATACTAAAAAAAAATTAAATCTTTCTTTGCAGGATCCTGAAGTTATGGTGGCCTTCCAGGATGTGGCCCAGAACCCAGCAAATATGTCAAAATATCAGAGCAACCCAAAGGTTATGAATCTCATCAGTAAATTGTCAGCCAAGTTTGGAGGTCAAGCATAATGTCCTTCTGACAAAGTAAAGCCCTTGCTGAAGGATAAGCAACCTAGGTCACCTAATGGATGTTGCAATAATACAAACCAGTGTGCCTCTGACCTTCTCATCAAGAAAGCTGGGGTGCTTCAAAGATAATCCCTACCCCTCTGCCCTAAATGCAGCTGAAGCATTTTACAGTGGTTTGCCATTAGGGTATTCATTCAGATAATGTTTTCCCAGTAGGAATTACAAACTTTAAACACTTTTTAAACCTTAAAAATATTTAAAACAAATTAAAAGGGTGTGTTAATTCCTACATTTTTTCTTTACTAATCATTTTGGGGCTTTTCTCTGAATTATTGGGCAAGGAAGATACTTAAATATGGAAGATTTATCACTCTAGTTTGAGTTAAATAAAAATGTATTAGTAGGAGGCAAATGTAACTCATAAATAGATAAAGTTTGATTTGAATATATGGTTACCGAGGCATTTTGATTTATCTTTTTAAATGCTTTATTTAAAAAAAAAAAAAGATTTATTTCAGCAAAACTACAGGGACCATCAGTATTTCAATAGGCCCTGGTTGGGGACTGGCAGTACTTGGCAGGGTGGCAAACATCTGTGTGTTGTGTAACATGGACCTTGTACAGGCTGCCTTCAGGCTTACGCTGTGGTGAAGAGAGGAATTTGTGTAATGCTGCAGTAGAGCTGAATTACTCTTAGCTCTCTTTTTGTCCAATATATCAAATAAATGTTTCATATTATTTCCATACAGGGCAAATAAGGGAGTATTTTTCTTTTCACATTTTTATGTTTAAAATTAACTTTCCTGGTCAAAAATTCCCTCCAACTTTGTGTGCTTTCTTCTCATCACATTTTTCCTCCTTAATCTTCTTGGACTCAAGATAGTCTCTTTTCACTAACATCATCACTGTTATGATTCACAGCATAATTCTGCAAGCATGTTTAATATTTAATATGGGTCATGGCTATAGGATAATATCCATAACAGCTATAATTTTTTATGTGGCCATGAGGTTGCTTTTCTAAGTATTCAATACCTTTTAAAAAAATTATCTGATTATTTTTTGTTGTGATTTTTCAAACCATTGGGTCCAGGACCTGAATCACCACTAGCTGTGTGGGAATCCAACACTAACCATGCCACCTGCTAGCCCAAGTATTGAGCTTCTACTCCGGTGAAATTTTGTCCTATCAAAAGATATCGAAAGGGGGGATTCCCTTTGGCCTTATGTCCTCCGTTTAGGACATACCTGTTGCAGTTAACTTGTCATATTCAACTTTGTATTTGAAGAGTAAAAGATTTGAATTAATTGACACATAGAGGGGAATCTTAACTTCTTGATTCAGCATGACTTTTAAAGTAGATGAGATCTGTGGTTACTCATTGTAGAATTGTTGGCACTGTGAAAAAAATCATTGTCATGTTGAGCTCTTCTTTAATTTCTGCAACCATACCACCACAACTGCTTTCTCTCCCTCCCTGGATTAAAAAGAAAGATAAATTTTCTGCTGTGCATTTGGGTTTGTTTGTTTGTTTTTTGAGAGAGAGAGGGAGGTATTTTGTTTTTTTTGTGTGTGTGTGTTTAACTTTATTTATTTTTAATTTGACCAGAAAGGGACAAAGTGAGAAAAAGAGGAAAAATGAGAAAGCAAGCCACCAAGTCCAGGACTCAAACTGGTTGGCCACGTGGGAGTCCACTGACTTAACCACTATGCCATCTGCTGGTCCCATGAGTTTTACTTTAACTAAGACCAAGCATAGGCATGGTATATAAAATTGCTAGGTTTCCACTCATCTTTCAATTTTAGGCTAAATGCTTGTGTTTAAAAGGAATTTCACTGGGGACAGCAGGTGGTGTAGTGACTAAAGCACTGGACTCCCACGTGAGTGACAACAGTTCAAGTCCCAGACCTGCACACATGTGCATGCACATTCAAAATTCTAGGAAAATCGAGAAGGTATTGTGACGTGGCCATGCCCTTGGGGTGAATATGATAGGAACAGTGACGTAAATTTAATGTAGTGCATTCTTTTTTTTTGGTATAGGTTTTTGCCTTAGGGTACATGTACTTGCCAGAGTTGGGATGCGAAATTGCTGTGCTGCACCCCAACCCCCCACCTCCCATCCCCTCACATGGGGGAATGGCCATGCCACAGTCCCTTCTCCATTCTCTTCCCAGGATCTTGGGTACACAAGCACATGCACCCAGTGTGAGTTTCAAGCCACCAGGTCTGGTACCAGGTTGGCCATGTGGGGCTCTATTGACATAACTGCTACATCATCTGCTGACCCCCATGGAGTACATTTTTAATTCCTTCCAAAACACCATATAAACTTGAATTGGAACTTGCCAAAGTTCTTTGTTAATATATTTCACTTTCTCAGAATTTCCCATGTGTGCTGTGCTTTACTCAAAAACTATTTCATCTGGATTACTTACTTGATTTACTAAATAATATTACCTAACTATATATAAATGGGTACTTGTAAAATTGCTCTTCTGAAAATGTGTCCTATGCTGTGGTTAGACTTTTAAGTTTTACAAATACAAATACACCCTTCATTTTCATACAAACTTAGTTATCACTTCTAAAGTAGAAATATTCTTTTCTTGTGCTAATACTATAAGAAGGAAAAGGAGTTATTGTCTCTGCTTAAAACTATATTCCAAAAAACTGGATATATATCTATTGGGTTGTTGGAAAGTCATAATGTATTCTGTTTTTCTGTGCAAAAATGTATCATGACTTTTCTGATAACCCAATAGCTACATTAATAATAAAATATGGGGACCAGTAGCTGGTATGGTGGTTAAGGGTGCTGGACTCCCACATGGCTGACTGTGATTCAAATCCTGGACCTGGTGGCTTGCTTTCTCTTTCTTTCTTTTAAAAAAAAATGCGGAACCAGACAGCATAATGGTTATGTCACTGAACTCCCACGAAGTGGACTGTGGTTTGAGTCCTGCACCTGGTGGCTTAAAACTCATGCTGGATGCATGTGCATTCATGCCCAAAATCCTGAGGACTGGAGGAGAAGGGATTCTGACATGGCCATCCTCCCTATGGGAGTGATTCTTGCTTCCCCTCTCTCAGGTGAGTATACAGACCCTTTAACAAAAACCTCTGAAAAATAAATAAAACTAAAACAAGGAGGCCCAGCAGGTGGCATGGTGGTTAAGGCTCTGGACTCCCACATAGCTGACTGCAGTTAAGTGCCATACCCAGCGGCTTGAAAATCACACTGTATGTGTGTGTGTCTAAAGTCCTGAGAGGAGGGACCACCAGTTAGCATAATGGCTATGTCGCAGGACTCCTATACAGTCAACCGCGGTTTGCGTCCCGGACCTGGTGGCTTAAAACTCACGCCAGGCGCGTGTGCCTGCGTGCCCAAGATCCTGAGGAAGACTAAAGTCCTGAGAGGAGACTGGAAGAGACAGGAAACAAATTTGTGATTGTCTTGTCACACTAGGAAATACTGGCTTGATTGGCTAAAGGAAAAACAACTTTCAGAAATTTGCTAATGTCTAAAACTAATGCACATGAACAGGCACATACTTCGGGTAGTAGTACTTACCCTGTACCAGCCACTTTTGCTATCAGTTTATAAGTATCAGCTTAGACCTGATAATGACCATAAGGATAAGTACTCCATTTTATCTCCATTTTATTTTCTATTTTATGGATGAGGAAAGTGAAGCACTTAACTTTATCCAGGATGATAATTGAGTGAGTGGGATGCTTCAATACCCAGGTTGTGGCTTCAGAGATCTCTCCTAAACTACTGTGCAGCCTCTCTCTATATATGGGGTTGATAATTATAATGTGTTACTTTAAGAAATTGAAAACGGGGTGGCCGGTGGCGTGGGGCTAAGGGCACTGGACTCCCACATGGCCAACTGCAGTTCAAGTCCTGGACCTGGCAACTTGCTTTCTCGGCCCTCCTCCCCCAAATTGAAAGGAATGAATGAATATGTTTAAGGGACCAGCAGATGGCCTGGTGGACAGGGGCGCTGGCTCCCACATGGCTGACTGTGGTTCACATCCTGGCCTTAGTGGCTTCCTTTCTCACTTTCCTTCTCTCTCTGGTCAAATTAGAAAATAATAAAGTTAAGATTATTCTTTAAAAATTTAATAAAAAAAATCTCAAGAAAATTGAAAATGGGGGTAGCTGGTGGTGTGGTTAAAGAAACTGGATTCAACATGGCTGATTTCTATTTTTTTTTTTTTTTTTTTTTTCAAGTTTATTTTTTTTGTTTTTTTTTTTGAGAAGTTTTTGCTATAGGGCGCGTACACTCGCCAGACAGACATAGAGAGACATAGAGACAGAAAGCGAGAAATCACCCCCTGGGGGGGATGGTCACGCCGCAATCCCTTCTCCTCCATTCTCCTCTCAGGATCTTGGGCACGCACGCACATGCCCCTGGCATGAGTTCCAAGCCACCCAGTCTGGGATGCAAACCACAGTTGACTACATGGGAATCCAGTGACTTAGCCATTACACTAACTGCTGGTTCCCAACATGGCTGATTTCTAAATTTGAGTCCTAGACCTGTCAGCTTGAGGGACACTCAAGATGTATGCATGCATCCTCAAAATTCCCAAGAGGAAGATGGAAAAGGGTTTTAGCGTGGCTCTCCCACCTAGGGGGTTGACTTCTCACTCTATATTCCCACCACCTCCAGCAAATTTTGCACTTTACAGCAAGGATAAAAAACAATTGAAAACAGCTAAAATGTATCGTATATTGCCGGTGCTGACCAGTAGGTTTCTCCTAGTAGGGGCTGCATAGTCGAAGTATTTGTTAGTATGCTTATAATGGGCCCAAAAGTAAAGACAAAACGTAATTTTTTACAAAGAATTATTCAATTTTTATTTATTCATTCATTCATTTTAATTTGACCAGAGAGAGACACACAAACACAAAAAGGGAAAGTGAGAAAGCAAGCCACCAGGTCCAGGATTTGAACCATAGATGGTCATGTGGGAGTGTCCAGCACCTTAACCACCATGCCACTTGCTGGTCCCAAGACAAAACTAATTTTAAGAAATGATGGAGGGGTGGCAGGTAGCATGGTGGTTAAAGATGCTGGATCTGGATTCCTACATAGTTGACTGCAGTCAAGTCTTGGACCTGACAGCTTGCTTTCTCTCTTTGATCAAATTTTAAAAAAATAAAGTTAAGTAAAAATATTTTTTTAAAAAATAATTTTTTGAGAGGTTTTTGCTATAGGGTGCTTGTGCTCTCCAGACAGAAAGCGAGAAGTCACAACCCCACCACCACCACCAGGGGGGATGGCCACGCTGCAATCCCTTCTCCATTCTCCTCTCAGGATCTTGGGCATGCACACACACACACACCCGGCGTGAGTTTTAAGCCACTGGGTCTGGGACGTGAACTGCGGTCAACTACATGGGAGTCCAGTGACATAGCCATTACGTTAACTGCTGGTCCCAAGGAGTTTGATTCTTATGTAATTCCGAAAATGAGAGTAATTCCTTTTTAGGGAAAAGAATATATAAATACTAGTTTAGTGAGTAATTGTTTTGAATGAGAAAAGCCAAAAAAAATTACCATTTTAAAATAGGGAATATCGGGGAATGTGGCATGGTGGTTAAGGCGCTGGACACTCCCACATGGCCAACCATGGTTCAAGTCCTGGACCTGGTGGCTTGCTTTCTCACTTTCTCTGTGTGTGTGTGTGCCTGTCTGTCTCCGGTCAAATTAAATGAATGGTTAAATAATTCTTCTAAAAACATTAAAATTGTGAATATCTGCAACATCAATAGCATTTCATTTCATTGATGTAGGTATAGAATTTCTACATTTTCATGTGTACTTACATGACGACTTTGTGACATTCTCAGTAAAATAATCTACATATTGGTCAGGATTTTGCTTTTAAAAGATGCGAATCCAGGGACCAGCAGGTGGTGCTGTGGTTAAAGCACTGGATTGCCACAGGGACAACAGATTTGAGTCTTGAACCTGGTGGCTCTGAAAATCACACCAGCTGGGGAACCAGCAGTTAGCGGAATGGCTATGTCGCTGGACTCCCACGTAGTTGACCACGGTTCACGTCCCGGACCCGGTGGCTTAAAACTCACACCGGGCGCGTGCATGCCCAAGATCGCGCGTGCGTGCCCAAGATCCCGAGAGAATAGAGGAGAAGGGATTGCGGTGTGGCCATCCCCCTTGGGGGTTATTTCTCGCTTTCTGTCTCTATGTTTCTCTCTCTCTGTCTGGCGAGCGCACGCGCCCTATAGTTAAAAAAAACCTCTGCAAAAAAAAGATCACACCAGCTGCATGTGTGTACGTTTCCCAAATCCTGAGAGGATGGAGGAGACAGGATTGCCACATGGCCTTTCCCTCTAGTGGGTGATTTCTCACTTTCCTTCTCTTTGGCAAACATATATGCCCTATAACAAAACCTTATAAAAGAAAAAAAAAAAGGATGTAAACCTAGGACCCGTGTGAGCACCACAGACCCTCTGACTGCTACATCAATTTCTGACCCCGAGATAGTTTTGAGTAGCTAGGGGGAGTGAGAAAGCACCCCTTATGGGAAATTGTTATGCTACCGTCCCTTTTCCATTGTCTCTTGGGGCTTTGGACATGAACATACATGCACCCCACCATTAGGCAAGCTGCAGGGTCCAGGACTCAGTCCACACAGCTGTGTGGGATCCATTGGCCTTAATCACTATGCCACTGGCTGGCTTCTTTTTAAGATTTTTGTTTATTCATGCCTGAGTGCACAAGAGTGAGATGAGCACTCTCTGGGGTCTGGTCATACCGTGATCCTCTCTCTCCAGACCTCTAGCCTGTCAATCTTGGACACTGACACTCCCAGGGGTACATTTCTGCCTGACAGGAATTCAAACAAACCACTGTCATCCTATAGAAAGTGGCATCTTGGGACCAGCAGATGGCGTGGTGGTTAAGGGTGTTGGACTCCAACATGGCTAACCGTGGTTCAAGTGCCAGACCTGGCAACTTGCTTTCTCACTTTCTCTCTCTCTCTCTCTGGTCAAATAAATTTAAAAATAATTAATTAAAAAAATTTTAAAGTGTTATTTCTTGACCATTGCCTAAGGACTGTGCCATGGAACTGACCCCAGTAATCCAGTATATTCTTTTTTTTTTTTTTTTGCTATAGGGCGTGTGTGCTCGCCAGACAGACAGCGACAGAGAGATAGAAAGTGAGAAATCACCCCCCAGGGGGGATGGCCACGCCGCAATCCCTTCTTCATTCTCCTTTTGGGATCTTGGGCACGCACGCACATGCGCCCAGCGTGAGTTTACACCACCGGGTCTGGGACGCAAACCGCGGTTGGCTACATGGGAGTCCAGCGACATAGCCATTATGCTAACTGCTGGTCCCCCAGTATATTCTTCATAGCTGAGTTGATTAGGAGTCAGTGACAACTATTCTGTAATTTTGCAGCCCATCAATGGGCCATATTCCAGGGCCAGAGTAATACCTCCGTTTGATTTTTGGTCCTGCACTTTAATGCCGTAACTCCATGGAGTGATGGGAATATTCTAGAAGCTGTGACTACAACAGGCTATCTGTAAATTAATCACACAACACACGGGGTGGCACTGTGGCACAATGATTAAGGGAGCCGGGTCCCACATAACTGACTGGTTCAAATCTCGGTAGCTTGAAAGACACACCAGGCATATGTGCTCAAAATGGTGACAGGATGAAGGAATGGAGGGAAAAGGATTTCAGGATGACCATGTCCCGTTGCAGGTGCTTTCTTCCTTTCTGGCTAGTACACACCTGGTAACTGAGAAGTTACCAGTAAATCCATCTGTGTCCCAAACACCTAAACTTAGCTTGTAGTCACTGCAGCATTACCCTAAATGAACAAGAATTTGGAAAGAAAGCTTGTTAATAGCAGCAGCATCTGCAAATTTTGAGAAAATCTGAGCAGGTTAAATACTGTTAGGACTCTCTGGGAGTTAAATGTGATAATGGGCGAACAAAGCTGTGCCTGGCCTGCAGTCAGCACTCAGTATCATTGAGGTATTAGGAAAGTAAACCTGCTGGTACTGAATCTTTGCTAGAGAAAGGTGCCACAGATGGCCCGGTAATAAAATGATCAATTTGGAGTCCAAGAGGAACATCCTGAAACAATGTTTCCATAGGACTTAGGTTAAAGGTTGAATATAGACTTTTTTTTTTTTTTTTTTTTTTTTGAGAGGTTTTCGCTATAGGGCGCTTGCACTCGCTAGACAGACATAGAGGCAGAAAGGGATGATCACGCCGCAATCCCTTCTCCTCCATTCTCCTCTCGGGATCTTGGGCACGCGCCCAGCATGAGTTTTAAGCCGCCGGGTCCCTGCGGTTGACTACGTGGGAGTCCAGCGACATAGCTATTATGCTAACTGCTGGTCCCAAAGGTTGAAATATAGACTTAAAAAATGTCTATGTACAATAGTTTTGTTTTTCCGTTTGTAACAGTATTTCAGAAAGTACAGCTGCATAAATTAGTTTTTGTAATCTTCATAGCAGGTAGGGTTGCTGGCATTTCCAGGTGGCGTCGTGATTAAGGGCGCTGGATTCCCACGTAACCACGCGTGGTTCAAGTCCCGGACCTGGTTGCTTGCTTTCTCACTTTCTTTCTCTGATCAAAAACTGGAAAATAGTAAGTAAATGTTAAATAATTATTTTTTTTGAGAGGTTTTTCGCTATAGGGCGCGTGCGCTCACCAGACAGACAGAGACATAGAGACAGAAAGCGAGAAATCACCCCCCTGGGGGATGGTCACACCGCAATCCCTTCTCCTCCGTTCTCCTCTCGGGATCTTGGGCACGCACGCACACACACCCGGCGTGAGTTTTAAGCCACCGTGTCCACGACGCGAACCGCGGTTGACTACGTGGGAGTCCAGCGACACAGCCATTACGCCAACTGCTGGTTCCCAGTTAAATAATTCTTTAAAAAAGAAAAAATAGTGGCATTTGATTTCGAAAGGAGGAAACCAGCTGAATGACTTTTAGTTACCAGCTAGTAGGTCCTTATCTTTCAGTCTCCTGATGATCAAGTTTTCCTCCCAGTACAGCCCAGCAGTTTTCGGAGAGAACCTTGCACATCAACATTTGTTTCCTGTAACTTTCTGAATAGAAAAATGAGTTAAGTTGCAAAGAAACAGAACTGGAGTCCCATTACGCCCCCGTCTTGGATGTCACCAGCATGTCTGGAGGAAAGTGGGGAAACGAGGCGCGTTCTAGGGCACCGGGTGTTTTGGAGCTAGGCGTGAACCGTAACCGGCCAGGCAAGAGGAGCCGGGGTGCCGACCCTGGGGCTGCCCCAGGGCCTGGCGCCCCAACGCCAAGGCGTTCCCCGGCGCTTCACCACCTCTTCCGGGGGCGGGGAGAAGACGCGCACGCCGCGCCCCGGAAGTGATTGCTGCGTACGAGACGCGCGGTCCTGAGAGGGTGGGGTTTGCGGCGCGCACGCCCCGGGCTCCGGCGCTCCTCTGGGTCTGCTCGTTGCGGCTTTGCGGGCACCGGGCCGGGTCCGCAGGCTCCGCACTGATGGCCTCCGTGCTGTCCTACGAGAGTCTGGTCCATGCCGTGGCCGGCGCCGTGGTGAGGGGGTCTTCAGGCCCGGGCGCCGTGGGGTGTGGGGCTTCGCGGAGGCCAGCGCCGGGACACGGCCGGGCGAGGGTGGAGGGAGCCTGCGGCCGGGGCCCGGGTCGTGACTGCGGGACAGAGTGGAGTGGACCCCCAGGGAAAGTCGCTGGAAAAGTTTGGGGTGAGGGACGACACTCTCCGCGCTCGGCCACTGCTCCGGCCTCCTGGAGAGTGTCTAGGGTGTGGGCAACGTAGCCACAGGTGCCCACAGGGAGCCAAGGGGAAGATGGTGGCTGTTTTCTTTGAAGAGATTTAAGGTCGTCCCCTGCCCCACTCCCACAGCACAGAAATTCTGCCTCACCGGGCTGGAGAGAAAGTAGGTTGTGAACGTGTTGGATCATCATATGCCTAACTTAAGTGCATCCTGTCTTACGCACCTGCCACGGGCAAGTGACGGTGCCTACTAGGATATCCTGTCCAGTCTTAGTGGCAGAAGATGGCTTTCCTTTCCTTTCCTTTTTATAAATCAAGAGCAGGGTTGTGTCTACCTCAGGTGTGGCTTTACTCCGAGGTATACCTTGATGCTTCTGGATTTCTTTTCTAAGAGAAGTTTTTGGTATAGGGCGCCTTTGCTCGCAGGAGAGACAGAAACTGAGAAATTACCCCCATTGGTGAAGCAGTCCCTTCTCCTCCATTCTCCTCTTGGGATTTTGGACAAGCACGTACACGTGTCAGAATGAATTTTGAGCCTCAGGGTGCTGGACTCTAACTGTGGTGGACTATGTGGAAATCCATGGATGTAACCATTACGCCATCTGCTGGTCCCTGGTTCTGGATTTCTAGATTCCATTTGAAATTCTTCTCTTTTCCTCGATATCTTCCCACTCTTAGCTTGGGTAATGTTCCTTTTCTCATTCTTCTCTTATCTCTACCCTTTCTCATGCCCTTCACTAGTTGTTAGAGTCACTGTGACTTCAGAGGCATCGCTGAATCCTCTCCATTTGGCCCCCCAGAAACTTCACTAAGAGCTCATGTTAGGTTTAGACCAATCTGAATTATATCTGACCTCCATCATTGGTTAGGTAGGTGAACTGTAAACCTCACATTGGTGGTCTGTGAAGTGAGCAAAATGATACCAACTTCACAGTTGTTTTGGAGGGAATTAGGTGACACAATATTTCATGAAAGTGCCTGATTCAGGAGGCCTGGTACCTGCTTCCTTCCGTTCAACCAGAAGAGGCCTTCAGTCGGTGCAAAGGTGCGGAGAGGAAAGGTTGTTCGACATGCTTTAGGATGAACATAGAGGCCTGTGTGTCTGGAGTGGAGGAAACACTGAAAATCAGTAGGTTTCAGGAGACCAAGTTGTTTGAGACCCTAACTCTGAGTAAGAGAGCTAACTCCTGAACTTGCTCCTTTGCATTTTTAAAAATTATTTATTTATTTTATCTTATTTGTCATTATTATTATTTATTTTTGGAGAGGTTTTTGCTATAGGGTGCGTGCGCTAGCCAGAGAGATATAGAGAGACAGAGAGACAGAATGCGAGAAATCATCCCCCGGGTGGATAGCCACGCCACAATCCCTTCTCCTCCATTTTCCTCTTGGGATCTTGGGCACGCACGTACACATGCCTGGCGTGAGTTTAAGCAACCAGGTCTGGGACTCAAACCGCAGTCGGCTACATGGGAGTTCAGTGACATAGCCATTATGCTAACTGCTGGTCCCATTTGTCATTTTTTTTTTTTTTTTTCTGCCAGAGAGAGACAGAGAAAGGGAAAGTGAGAAAGTAAGCCACCAGGTCCCGGACTTGAACCACAGTAGGCCATGTGGGAGTCCAGTGCCTCATCCCCCATGCCACCCGCCAGTCCCACTGCTTTGCACTTTAAGCATGATCACCCAGCTGCTCTCTTGAGAGTGGGGTGTAAAAGAGCAAAGGACAGTTACAGAGCAAGAGATGATAGTGACTTGGACTACAGTGGTGGCAGTGGAGTTGATGAGAAGTGATCGTTAACCTGGATTATATTTATAATATAAAAAAACAGAGTTCCATGGTGGATTAGATGTGGGATGTAACAGAATGAAAGTTAGTTGACTCTGAGGTTTTGGCTTGAGGAACTATAGGGATGATGTTCCCATTTATTGAGATGGCAAAGGTTGTGATGTAACAGATTTGTGGGGGGGAAATTGGTTTTGCTTTTGAGCTGGTTAAGTTTGTAATTCCTGGGAGTAGTTGTGAGACTAGATGAGCTCACCAAGGAAGGGAGCATGGATTGAGACCAAAAACTAAATGACTGAGCCTTAGAGCAGGACAGCATGAAGAGGTTGGGGAAATGGAATGTGCCAGCAAAGGAGATAGAGGAAGGACCAGGAGAGTAAGAGGAAAACTAAGAGAGTGCTGTTCTGAAAGCCACAGGAAGATAGCACTTGAGGGAAAAGGGTAGACCAACTACAGATGCTGTTAATGGGTCAAGAAAGGACTGAGATTACTATGAATAATCCAGTTGTGAGTTAAAACAGTTTGGTGGAGTGGGGTAGTAAATCGTTGGAAAGCATCTAAGAGAGAATAGGAGGGTGGAAAATGTTATCTTCTCTCAATGAACACCATTCATTCAATGTCTTTATTGAGTGCATTCTGTGTGCCTTGTCTCAGTCTAGGCACTAGAGATGGAGGAGAGAGCAAGGTCTTTTTCTTCATGAAGAATGCATTCTAGTGGAAGAAGTACACAGTAAATAAATAAACAAATATATATATTTTAGATAGAATTAGGTGCTCTAGAAGAAATAAAATAGAGGTTGGCAAGCTTTTTGTGTGTGAGGAGGCAGACGGCACCTCTAATGGGGCGTAGTCACACTGCAGTCTCTGGTGCACCTCTACAGCACTGGTAGTATGGAAGCAGCCATAGGTAATAAGTAAATGAAAGGGCAGAGCTGGGTTCCAAGAAACCCTATTTACAAAACGGGACATGGGTTGGGTTTGGCCCATAGGCCCTGCTATGGAAAGTGACTGAGAACAGAGGTGGTATCTCTGATCTATAGAGAAGTTTGTTTTTTTTCTTCTTGTTGCCCCTTTTTCTCTTGTTAAAGTTACACTTATAGACTGGCAAGGAGGCACAGTGGCAACACACTGCTCAAGCAAAGCTAGAGCCATACAAAAAATTGTGGGTTTGGTTCTCGTCAACCTGTATATACTAGGCACACATACCTATGACCCTGGCTGGCTGGGAAGGCTTAGGGTGTGGGGTGGTGGCACGGGACCCTATTGAGGGTACTTGTCTTTCTCTCTCATGAAAGAAAGACATAAACTTTAAAAAAAAAAAAAATTGTACTCAAAATCACGAACCCTGAATTTGCTACTTTTTTTTCTCCTGTAAGCTGTGATAGGTTATCTCATCTATAGTTGGCCCTCCGTATTGGTGAGTTCTACGTCTATGGATTCAGCCAGCCATCGATCAAAAAGATTGTACTGATTTCTTGTCATTATTCCCTAAACAATGTAGTATAACAACTATTTACATACCAGTTACATTGTTTAGATGTTATAAGTAATCTAGAAAGGATTTAAAGTGTATGAGAGTATTTGTATGGGTTTTATGCAAGTACTGTACCATTTTGTATAAGGGACTTGAGTAACTGCAGATTTTCATATATTTTGGTATTCGCGAAACTAGTTCTTGAACCGGCTTTTTGTTGTTGTTGTTGTTTTAATTTGGTGAGGGCATGTGTACTTGTCAAAGTCTGAGAGGGAGAGGGGAAAAGCACCTCCCAGGGGCATAGTCACACTGCAGTCTCTTTATATCTCCCTCTTTCTGGGACTGTGTACACATGTACATGAGCCCAGTGTGTTTTTCAAGGTATCAGGTCCAGGACTTGAGCTATATAATTGTCCATATGGAATTCAGCTCCCTAACCACCAGGCCATGGGCTGACCCTGAATATACTTTATACAAATAATATTTTTTCTTTTGCTTCCTCTCAGAGCAGTTCTGTCCATAGTACTTATTGGGTTGTGAGAAAAGGCATGACACATTTTTTCATGTTTTTCTTTTCTTTTTTTTAATTTTTAATCTATTCATTTATTTTAATTTGACCAGAGAGAGATACACACAGAGAAAGAGAGAGAGAGAGAGAAAGAGAGAGAGAGAGAGAGAAATGAGAAAGCAAGCCACCAGGTCCAGGACTCAAACCGTGGTCAGCCATGTGGGAGTGTCCACCACCACGCCACCTGCTCGTCCCCTTCATGTTTTTCTATGTAAAGATGCAGCATGGCTTTTCCCATGACCCAATATCTGGGTGAGAAGTTGTTTTGTGTTTTGCTGTTTTGAACTGTCACACTGAAGAGTGGGTCTCAAACTCTTTAAGGTTAAACCATGCAACTTGGGCCCTAATTTCTTGTGGTTGCTACCACAGAAAATATTTCACCACAAAAATGTAACTACAGGGATCAGATGGTTGTGCAGTCATAAGATGTGAGGCAGTTTTACATGGGAAAATTGCTGGTTTAAGTCTGGAGACCTCCCTGAATATGGTAGCCATACCCTTGGCCATCTGAGGCTGGCTAAAGTCTGGGGTATGGATTGTGATGTCAAGACCCTATTGTGAATGCTCATTCTCTCTCTGTCTCTCTCACACTCAGTCATGGGAGAAATAAATTACCTAAAAAATCGTAACTACATTTGATGAGAAAAATAGCTTTGCTTTTAATGGTATCATGATGATGGCTAATCTCCTAAGGTTTGCATTCGACCAAAGCTTAGAAATGATGTAGAGTCAGTTTAGTAGATAGTGTGAAGGACGTTTGAGGGCCTGACTTGAGCCAGGCCGTACTTCTCACTAGGTATGTGACCTTGGCATAAACTCCAAGGCTGCCTAGAATAGTTGCTGGTACCCAAAGAGTTTTTGGATCATTGTTTAAGATGTTGAATTACAACACTTTTTCAGTTGACATTTCACACTTGCTTGTTCACTTCCTTTCAAGTACATCAAGTGCAGTATTAAGCATGTATACATACACGTTT